AGGTGGAAGAGGTAAGGCATTGTACAGCGTCTGCTCAGGTGGCAGCAGGAGAAGGTGGAAGAGGTAAGGCATTGTACAGCGTCTGCTCAGGCGCAAGCAGGAGAAGGTGGAAGAGGTAAGGCATTGTACAGCGTCTGCTCAGGCGCAAGCAGGAGTAGGTGGAAGAGGTGAGGCATTGTACAGCGTCTGCTCAGGTGGCAGCAGGAGAAGGTGGAAGAGGTGAGGCATTGTACAGCGTCTGCTCAGGCGCAAGCAGGAGTAGGTGGAAGAGGTGAGGCATTGTACAGCGTCTGCTCAGGCGCAAGCAGGAGTAGGTGGAAGAGGTAATGCATTGTACAGCGTCTGCTCAGGCGCAAGCAGGAGTAGGTGGAAGAGGTAAGGCATTGTACAGCGTCTGCTCAGGCGCAAGCAGGAGTAGGTGGAAGAGGTACTTATTAATTATTTCTATCAGAACTGAATGCATGTTATATTATTTTCATTACCAGATTATTGCAAAGGAGAAAGCCATGGCTGAGTTCCACGCTCACCCGATGCCTGTATTTGATGACAAACCTAAAGGACTGCCAAGCAAGAAAACCCCCAGCGTCACCAAACCTGAGCCATTTGTGCTGCAAATCGACAAGCGAGCTGAAAGCAAACAACTTGCAATGGAGAGAGAGGTACCCGCCGTCAAACTTGACAATTGAGTCTTAATTTTTAATTAAAATATACCCCGAATTTCAGGTGTATTAAAGCTACGATAAGCTACATTATCAATTCATGAACTGAGATCATCTCAATTGAGTTCGTAATGTATAAAGCGAGTTCAGGAATTTACTTCAATTGTTTGTTTTTTTAACTTGTATGTAGCTGTCACGCGAGTAGAGACGCTTCTATTACGTCACACAAGTAGAAATGTTGTAAATAATTGTTGAAATGCTCACTGTGCAGCAGCGGGAACGTGAGGAACGTGAACGAGAGATGAGGAACTTCCACGCTCGCCCAGCGACGGTCATCGCTAAGGAGCCTTTCTTGCCGGCGCGCAGCCACAAACCTCTCACTGAAATATCAGGATTTGATCTCAATACGGAGAAGCGCAGCAAAGAGAGATACGAGTACGACGTGCATCTCAAGCAGAAAGAAGATGAAATAATGGCGAAAAAACGACATGTAAGATCCAATTGATCACTGAAATGTTCGGAATTGTGGCAATCAACTCGCCCTTTTCTCACTCACAGTAGTATTCGTGCGACATGTTGAAGTTTTTTTTCCAAAGGCCTCCTTTTTTTCGAGAGCCTTCTTTAAAAATGTGTTTAAACCTTATTTAAAATCCGATATTCACATTATTTTAAAATATAAAACTACAGTTTAGCTTGGTTGTGTACAAGGAAGCCACTAATCATGTTACTACACCGAGCGTTATGAACTGTTACAGACCCCTTTTTTAATTCATGATCGCATTTCTTTCATAACTCGTGCAGGAAGAAGAGCTTCGTGCTGCTGAGGAAGAAGCTCAAGTAGCCGAGGAGCGCAAGCGCAACGTGCATCACGCTAAGCCCATGCCTCAATACAAGACTTTATCGGTCCAGCGCAGCGACAAACCTGTCACTACTCCGCTCTCGCCAAAATTTGCCACAGACTCGCGCTTAAGGTCGTCTCGTAGTCGCCTTAACATCAACAATACAACCTCAAGCAGTACTTGTAGCAGCGCCCATAACACTACAGTCACTCGATGAGTCTGTACTTCTCTCACTTTCAGTGCCAAACTCGTCATGAGGGAGCTCATAAGACACGAGTGATGTAAAACGACCACTGGTTTGTTTTATGAGCATTGAAATGACTCTTGATGTTCTTATTTAAATAGTCTGTGCTCAGATAATAATTCTATGATGATGTGACAATCAGACAATCAATATTCACTTTCTCATACACTAGTGGTTTCTCGTGTGAAATCACGCAATCTCCTAGTAATATCCGTTAGAAACCAACATTGGTTTTAAAGATGGCCTATTTAATCTAAGCGTAACGATTGGATTCTTTTAGTTTGCCCCCCTTGCCTTCAATAAACGACGAGTATAGGTAATAGCTGCGATGCACATACCTTATTATTTCTTAGATAACTAACGATTAGTTTCTTGAATTGCTCTATACCCTCAGAATATGGAAAGCTTGTGACGAAATTCCTATCTAAGAAGATTGTGCCTCTGATGTTTTTAATGTTCGACTTATTCCTAAGTTACGGATGCAGAATTTGACTGCCATTTGAGCTTCGATTTTTTGAATGTGGACACAGTTTTACTGCTTCGCAATGTTCGCGGTCACTGTCTATATATAAAACAACCACTTTAACAGGCTTCTGCATTGACTCCTCAGAAAAATTTCTGAAGGGTTAGTGTCAATTCAATTGAATAGTTTTTTTAATTGCTGTATTGTTCAGATCAAGATTAGCGTTTTTTTTTTTTGTACAGAGGAACTTGAGCCGTTGGCTATTACTTTTCTTGCTGTTAACATTTACGTCTTCAAGTTGAACTCAAATAGTGCGTTTTACGATACTCGGTCTGGCTTTTTCGTAGATATATCGTTTTATTTTACCCTGCTTTTTATAAATAAATCCTTGCTTTATTTCCGCCCTTGATATTGACCCCTACTCAAATTTCAACGGACGACCATTTTGGAGGTTATAGATATGCTCACAAATTTAGTCCACCCGAACCTAACTAGTATTTTAATGCAGTTTAATGCCTTCTGTATAAAAAAGTAAATCTAAAATTGAATGTATTGCCATCATTTGACTTGATGCATTGAAATGAATTCTAGTGAAAATTTCGAAGCCAACATTGCAAGCCGTCGATGCGACTTTTTATTCTCAATCGTAGTGTAGTGATGAGGGATGCTCGTAGCTTTTCTTGAATTTATATCATGATGGCTTTGTTTTCTTACGGCTATTCCCACCAACACTAATTGACTTGAGTGCCTCTTATCGTATCAAGAAAAACGAATTGAATTTGTTTTCTGAGCTCCTAATGAATTTTCATCTCGCCAAAAGTGTCCAGCGAAATAGTTTCAATAAAGGAAATATTGACCAGTATAACAATTATTGTTTATGAGTTATCCAAAAATTCAAAGTGCACTCAAAGCTCCATATGCAAGAATATTACTAGTACTCACTGATGTCCGTAACAATGAGTGAACTCGAACGGAACGACATTTTTTCCATAATAAGCATTGATTTCAAAATTAGAAACACGCGGTCTACGCAATAGCCGCACGTACAGCTTCGTCAGTTCATAGCAGCAGGTTCAAGTAAAATAAGAATTTTAGCTCATTAATAAAAATCTGCTGCGGTTATAAACGTAATAATAGCCGTTGCATTCTTTATTAGGCCGTAGGCCTATCGCCGATCCATAACAGTCGCAGAACCTTCACAGCTTGCTGCGAGTCTGGAACTCGCAACTCACTGCTCTAATTTTACTTAGCTTACTCCGTTAAGCCGTGGTCGAGAGCGGACGCTCGTGCTCGTGGTCCCAAATTTCTAAATTTTTAACTTTTTACTGTGACGTTTTCGGAACTCTTTTATATCAAGACAAGAAAATTGGAAACTTTCAACGCCAGCAAACTTCGAAATGAAATTTCTAAGAGCTCTTAAGTACCATAATTTCACAGCTTCAGCACGAAGCGGTTCTTCATGTGCTCGCTAGTATGAAATATCATGTGGTATAATATAATATTATCATAATATATGTTAATATAATACAATAAAGTAAATAAAATTAAAAGCTATCAAAAATATGTTATTATATAGCTCTGGATATTAGAAACAGAGTTAAATTTATTCCAAATATATATTTTCCATAGATAGGATAATTGAAGTATAAAGGAAGGAATCGAGTTTGTGAATACAAGCTTGCCATGACCGAAATATTGAACTTCTACGAAGCTAAATCATTTAAATGCATTGAAAAAACTCGAGGTAAAAAGTTAGAAAATTTGAAGTTTATCAAACACCCCTTTAAGTTTCACTTAAAGAAGCTCATCTATCACATAGATCACAGATCAGTTCATTTCGATACATCACCTATCATTCAAACGCGATGCAGTTTCCTTCATTCTAATGCGATGTGTTTTTTTTTCATTCTAACGCGATGAAGTTTCCTTCATTTTAACGCGATGAAGTTCCCTTCATTCTAACGTGATGAAGTTTCCTTCATTCTAACGTGATGAAGTTTCCTTCAACGCAAGACTTCTCAATCATAACCCTCTCGTTGCAACCGTGTCTTCTCATGCTGTAAGCATGCTGTTCATTGTTCTTGCCAAGGTGAAGCACTTAACACATGTCAGCATTGAAACGCAGCTGCCACGCATCAGCCCAGTCAACTAAACTATCAAGATCATTATGCAGTTGCATTTTGTTTGACGCATCCTTAACTGTATTATAAACTTTTGTGTCATTGGCATACATGGAGCACACGTAAAGCTTCCATATGCAAGTATATTACTAGTACTCACTGATGTCCGTAACAATGAGTGAACTCGAACGGAACGACATTTTTTCCAGAATAAGCATTGATTTCAAACTTAGAAACACGCGGTCTACGCAATAGCCACACGTACAGCTTCGTCAGTTCTTAGCAGCAGATTCAAGTAAAATAAGAATTTTTGCTCATTAATAAAAATCTTCTGCGGTTATAAACGTAATGAAAGCTGTTGCATCATTTATTAGGCCGTAGGCCTGTCGCCGATTCATAACATCGCAGAACTTTCACAGCTTGCTGCGAGTCTCGAACTCGCAACTCACTGCTCTAATTTTGATTTGCTTAACCGCCCAGCCTCCTCGTCGATTCTGACCAGAATAGAATAGAAGTGTCGGCACTGAAAAAATAGGCCCATGGCCTGTTGCCGATTCTTGTACTTTTCGTGACTTGATTCACAAGGGATCCGGCCTTTATAACCCGATCTTTCCATAAATGACGATTGATTGAGTTAGCTGCTTGACTTATTGCCAGTGGTCCGTAAGGTGCTAGGCATTTTAAGACTGAACATATGCTCCTGCATAGCTTCGCCTAGTCTGTTCTTGAAGTCGTCCATGCTCGGAGCGTCAACGATGCTATCGGGGAAACTGGCGCACAGAGCTGGGATCGAACCCGAACCTCTCTGTTCCAATCCTGGTACTCTGAACTGCAACCTCTGGGCCACCCTGCCCTAGAATAAGATTTATTTAATTGTCTTCACTTTTTATTGAAGCACACGAACACACGTGGCAAATTCAGAGAAAGTATAGTTTTATTTGTTAGTTGAACGTGAGACGACCGAATCATTTAAAAAGCTTATTTTATATGATATGAGCAAAAAAGGTTAAAACTATAATTTTTAATGCAGGATATTCGAGTGAGTTTTGACACAACTGGAGAATTAAACATTTTGTTGGATAAAAAATATGATTTAAACTTTGTGACCTCAGAGGAAATGAGGAAAAGCTTAATTTCCGCTCGGAGTGGCGTTAAAGCCGCGAGTTTGGGTGAGATAGCGGACTGAGATTTAGCGGAAAACCCGCTGATGAGGTCCAGCGAAAATGTTCCTGGAAATGTTACGTGAAGTTATGATTGCGTTTTATATGCCCGCGTTATACTTTTTTTTAATTTAAAAGTTGGTCAAATTAAGTTAGAAGTGTATTAATCTTTAATTAGGGCTGAGAGATAACGGATAACGTTTATATAAGAGAATTCGTAAGTATGATTGAATTCATCTCACAGCAGTTCGTTGGTGAATGATGATGAAGTTAAACCAGCGTTGCCTTGCCAACATCACGATTCCATCTTTCATTTCAACCCATGGGATCTGGGTTGAGCTAACAAAAAAAATATGATTTAAACTTTGTGACCTCAGAGGAAATGAGGAAAAGCTTAATTTCCGCTCGGAGTGGCGTTAAAGCCGCGAGCTTGGGTGAGATAGCGGACTGAGATTTAGCGGAAAACCCGCTGATGAGGTCCAGCGAAAATGTTCCTGGAAATGTTACGTGAAGTTATGATTACGTTTTATATGCCCGCGTTATACTTTTTTTTAATTTAAAAGTTGGTCAAATTAAGTTAGAAGTGTATTAATCTTTAATTAGGGCTGAGAGATAACGGATAACGTTTATATAAGAGAATTCGTAAGTATGATTGAATTCATCTCACAGCAGTTCGTTGGTGAATGATGATGAAGTTAAACCAGCGTTGCCTTGCCAACATCACGATTCCATCTTTCATTTCAACCCATGGGATCTGGGTTGAGCTAACAATGAAAGTTACGATGTGAGGTAGAAAACTCAATAAAGTTACAATAAGTTTTCGTGGACTTTTCTATTCATTATATTATACCACTCATATTTTGGTATTCAACGATTTCACTTGTCTCGTAACTTTACAGTTTGTGACAGAATTGCAGCATTCAAATCTGGGTGAGATACGGCGCCATAATAACCTCATAGCGAGAAAAATCCCTGGTTTTTAGGATTGCCTAAAAGTTTCTTAATCAAGCTTCTTGCGAGAAAAACCCTAACACGCGAAAAAGTGTCCACTCGAGTGAATAATAAAAGATATTCTTTTGGAAAGTTTCCTCAGCATCTGCCTGTGATCTCGAACGCAGCAATTGTTCCTCTATGATTTTTTTCTCCGTCTTTCATGTTTTACTTGGACTCCGTAGAGACAAAAGATAAATTTTGTGATCCTGATAAAACTGATAGAAAAATGCTGCCGAAATTGAAAGGAATCTGAAATATTTCGCAGTACTGAATTTATTCAGCTAAAATAGAATAGTAATTCTTACTTATTTTAAGTGAGGCTAATTACGGCATCACCTATACCGATGATCCATGATGTATTTTTATTTTATTAAGTATTACATTTTTACATGTTTCATCTTAACACAGTTTTGCTGACGGTGGTTTGAGCCTGCGTCGCTGCCTTTGTTCTTGCATAAATATTACCGAGAAATTAAGCCTCGAGCTCACCAGACACGCAACTTTATGACCACCTTTACCTTACATTACAAACTTTATTATGCGCAAAAATTGTTCGGATTTTTACGAACTGAAAAACAAGTGAAATAAAAGGGCCCGAATTATGTAAATAAGACCAACGTATCTTGAAATTAATTTGCTGCATTTTAGTTACATAATAACATAATATTTTTTGGTCCTTTAACCAGTTTTTCTGCTTTAGCAATTTGCCGATAAATATTCTGGAAAGCTTGATTAGTTTCAACACCATTAGCTCACAGAATAACACCTTTACAAAAAATTCATGAGCGAAATTAATTGCCTTTTAGGTAAATGTTTTAAAGTTGCTGATCTATTAAAGTTGCTGATCTGCTAAAATATTTCTTCAGTATATTTTCCTTATAAATATTTTCATAAACTTTTACATTTTAGGCCTAAAAATATAGCAGAAAGCTAATGCGTGTAACATTTGTGTATAAAGCTTGGCGCTATCGACGTGCGGGGGATTTTACATCTATCGTGGCAGGATATTCGTGGATGTGAAATGTTTTCCTAAAAGAATGGAATACCGTCGCGACTGAGTTTGATGACTATAATTTACAAATTTGCCGAAAAATGTGAAATTAACTTCTCTCAATATTTAGCAA